TTCCTCAGAGATGTCACAATGAGGAAGTTCAGCATGTTCTCCCAGTTCAGAACACTTCCCAGGAGACTTACAGGACAGGACATTTCCTCCTAACCATAGCAGTTTGACCCTCATTTCCATTTCATGTTTGTCTTGTCTTGTCATGTTTGTCTTGTCATGCATATGGCACTTTATAGTAGTCAACACAACTAAGAGGTGGATTTTTTTTGTTTTAAGATTTATTTATGGGCTTTTGTCTGAAGATAGGACAGTGGATAGAGTAGAAAGTCAGGGATCATGTTTTTAAATCCTACTGCTTTGTGGAAGCAACAAGAGAATGTTTGTGGCTCTCTGTTTTTGACACGGGAGCTGGGGATTGCTGTATAAAGCTCAGTATGGAAGAACATGTACCATCAAGTCGGTTAATGTCTTCTGCGCCTTGCTTTAGTTTCTGCTTTGCTGTTGCATCAGAAGTGTTGCTATGTTACAACATCTTTGCCTTGGGGTGAGGGTGTTTCTTACTGTGCAACAAGTACAACTATGCTGTGGTTTAATATGAAGAAATTGTCCTGCCTAGGGTTGTTGGTGGTTGAAGTCGGTTCAATAAGCCTGTATTTATTTTTACAGTAATGCTGTAGATTTGCTGCTTCCACTTTTTAACTGGGATGTCTATTGTACATCACAAAACATTTATTAAATGTTACAACTCTCAAAATCGTAATTTTGATGTCCTAAGTTCAAGCCAGATAATGGCTGAGCTGCCTGCCTGCATGCTTGTTTTCTTGCCTGTAGTACACATGCACCAGTCCTGAAATGTTCTATTCTCTACATTTTCTAAAGCACCCTTCCTGAGCTAAATAGTTCTTGTTTCCATACCGCTGCTCTACTCATATTACCTTATATCCTTATGGAACATGTGCTTTGTGCATGCAGTAAGGAATCAAAGTAACCTTTTACTATTGTTCTGAATATTTACACTTGTGTTACCCTAGAGAGCACTTACAGTCTCCAGCTAAATTCCAGGAACCATTCCTGAAGGCTTGGTCAGTTAAGATGTGTCCAAACATACCCTGTTGTCATGGAGACTGGAGGACAACGTTTTTGTAGTCTTTCTTTCACATATACAGCTGTTTCAGTCAGAATGGAAACTTTGACAGGATTTGTGTTGTTCTATTATTAACTGTTTCTGTGTGCTGCACTTGGGAAAAGGACAAATGAGTATTTGCTGTTGTGGAGTTAAGTCTGGTGTCTTTTTGGGTTGATGAGTCATCCCTGCCTGGGGCATATAAAACTTAGCAAGATTCTTAAGAAAAAAGTTAGGAAGTTTTAAAGAATGTTCTTAAGAAATGACACTGTTCTATAGAAAACAATCAGGAATTACACTTAAGAACTTCTTTATTTTCTTACTTACGAACTTCTCAGAAGCAGTAGGGAAGGCTTATATCCTTATATAATCGGCCTATGCCTTTTTCTATACATTCGGTGGAACATTATTGACTAAATTTTATTTAGTCAATGTTATTTCAATACATTATAATAAGCATGTTTGTCAACATTATTGCTGTAGAAAATATTTGAACATTAGTTAGTTTCTTTGGGTAAAGGCAAATTAGATTGAAATCAACTGTCAAATGTGCTAGCTTATTTTCAGGTGTTTACACAAAAAACAACAGTGGCAAGCTAAAATCAACGATAAATGTAAAGACAAACTTAGTAAAACTGAAAAACAGATTCTATTGTCTAAAATGTGTTTAAATGTAAGAATTTAGAAGCTTACCTTTCTACTCTAGCAATTTTGGGACAAGTGTAGTGTGATCTTAAAGTTAAGAAGAGAATTAGTAAACACAAGAAGAAAGTTAAGAAAATAAATACAAACTTTTTTTCAGGAATATGAAAGCTTCTTAACTTGAAATCATTACTTAAGAAGTTTCTTTTTCTTAAGAAAGTTTTGTGAATCTTTATCCCAAAGAATGGAAATGGGCTGGTATGATGTGAAATGAATAGAGCATCCAGCTTATTTCTGTAGAGCTACAGCTTTCATTTTCAGCACACATCTGGTAATTGTATGTTATCATCTATAGTAGAGTAGAATTCAAAAGAGGTTTTATTTCAAGTTCAAGCCCTATATCTTTTTGCAATAGTGATGACGTGAGGAAAATAAATAATTGAGAAAACGTTTAACGTTACACACATCCACACTGTTTACCATTAAACTCTAGGTCAATATAGACTTGGATAATTACCTGGATGAATGCCAAATGACCTTATTATTGACTGTGTTTGTGTTATTTCATCTGCATTCAGCTGTGCATAGTGAGTCAGGCCTGCTGTAGAACATTATTTTTTTTTAACTTGTGACTGGAGGAGTGATTTATGGAGTGCCAAAGGAGGCAAACAGGCTAGATCCTGCTAAAGGTTAGTTGATTATCCTGGAGGAACTGTAGTGCCGAGATTTGTTGACTAACTCCTTATAGAAACTGTCTGGCTAATTTAACACGTTGGTATTTTTCTGGTTGATCAAGGAGTTTATGGATGAGAGACACTCCCTGAAACCAAGCACTTGTTCAGAGAGGGACGTGACAACAAATGCTCTTAATTTCTATTCTTATGTCATTATAAGCACCATGTGAAATACAGGAAGATGATCAGACTGGTTCTACTGAATATTATGAAATAACAACATTGTAGCCTAGAAACATGTCCCTACAGCCGCCTTTTCAAGGAAATTCCTGGTATCATGACTCTCCTGTTTCCTGTTTTTTGTAACACGAAAACAGTCTGGCTTTTTTTCAGTGGACAGAGGTAACTAAATGTTTTGTTTATTTTTTCATGAAGCAGAACAAGGCTCCTTTGTGGTTTTCTGTCTCATCAAATAAACCCCATGGTTTTGTATACTTAGTAAGGTGTTTGTTAAAAAAAAAAAAAAAAAGTGGTGTTTTTGAGCAACCATGTCATTTGTGGTCGAGTTTGCTGTTGACGTACTGTTGTTTGTAATGGGTGAAACTCCTGTTTACAGTCAGTGCTGTTGTGCTGACGGCAGTACAAAGCCTACACCCAGAGTTCCAGAGCATCAGGGCAAAAAAAAAAAAAACAGAGCTCAGCATTCAGTCAGTGGACAGTGGGCAGTGAGTCGCCCTGGCAGTGGTATGCCAGGAGCTGCTGAACCCTACTGACTGCCTATTCACACAAACAAGTTCTACTGCTGATAAACACACGAATCAGTCAGAATCTACTTGTATGTTTGTTTCTAGAAAAACTCAGTTAGGATGGTGGTTAAATTATGAAAAATGGGATAATTTCAGATTTGTACTGCTCTATATTGAGATTTATCAAAATATATAAAATGATGATGCTGCTGGTTTGTGTCCTAACAACGACAGAAGCCTAGAACACAGGGTTAGTGTTCTTCTTCACATTTCTAGTAACAACCAAATGATCAGCAGATGTTTTCTCATCCTCATAATAAACTAACCAGGCAATACAAACTGGTAATTTTACCAAACCGGACAGTTTATGTCAAAAACAGTGTTTCATCAACATACTTAAGGGACTGTGGACGGGGTTGCCTCTTCATAGCTCTGCTTGTTTTGCTCTCAGCTGCCACTCTTCTTATGACTACAGTTCAGCTAATAAATTCATATAACGTTGTCTTTTTCAGATTGTAGCGGCTTGCTTTATCCATACTATTAAAAAATGCTCTTATTGCTGCTCTGTCCTATGCATGAAAAGAGGCTGTTTTGTCCAAAATAGTCCGAAAAATGATTATCATTATGGAAACACAACAACCTTTTATCAATGGCTGCGGTTCAAATATCAACTGCAACTTTCTTCAAGGCTTTGTTGAACTTTAAGTGATTTCTGTTCTCATGCTTTTCACAGAAGCTCAAAGACATCGTCTTGTGCTCTGTAGAACACAGCTCCTTTATTAGCCAGACTCAGCTGACACAACTCAGCCGACCCCAAAAGTCTTATGAGCAGCACTTGTTCTCTCAGTTGATCAAACACAGTCTGTCCCTGCACGCGTCTTTCAGGCACACTGTATGATTTCAGTCTAAGTCCCTGTTAGTGAAGTGGCCGTTTTGCAATTAAAAGTATTGCACTTCTGCATAACATAAAAGTCACTACTTCATTTCTTGAAGTCTTTCTTTGCTTTCCTGGTCTCTTTTTGTATCATTATGCAACTCGTTGGTCATTCATTGGTACATTAATGCATCGCTTTGCATCCTGCAGTGTTAAGTTTCAGGATGGAGTTTCATAAGCTGTCCAAAATGAGGAAATATCCTGTTTGTCTCAATGCAGAAAACATTCAGAAGTTTCTCGGACCAGCTCAGTTTTTTGGCCAAACCAATGATGTTATCACAATCATCACTCACTTCACTGTGGACTAGGCAGTCTAGTCTCTTGTTTTGACTTGCAGGGTTTGTTACCTCACCGTTCAGATCCTTGATTGCTTGCGATAAAGACAAGGAAGGAATGGCTGCTGCTGCACGTTATGCCAAGGCCTGGTTGTGTAACAGCTGGCTGGCCTTTACATAAGTGCTGAGGTTGCCAGTGTTTTGCATACATGAGAACGGATCATTTAGAGACACAGTGGCCCTTATTGTGTTTTGACGAAATAAAAAAGGCCAGTATTTGAGTCGGGACAATTTTCTGCTGCAACTCATCTTCAGTGAGGCATGTGAAAAGATGCAAAGTTGAAAACGTTTTTGTTTTGAATATTATATAACCTGGCACTACAAGACCTCGAGTTACTGTGTGTTGTTTCTAAAGCTTTAACCTTTTCTCATATTCATTGAATGAAAAATGTTTTAGGCTCGTGAACACTTTAAGACTCAAATTCTGTGTGCTTTTCAGTCAATCAAAAATAAGTGTGCCTTGTACGTTAAATGTCTCAACTGTGATGCTGTTCTGAATAAAAAGAGATTGTAATAAGTTGTTTCTTGCTGTTTAGCTACACAGTATATACAACAACTTAATATAAAACAACACTGTGTTAATCACTTTATTGCTCACTCTTTCAGGCCTATGAGCGTCGCTTTCCCACCTGTCACCTCATCCCCATGTTTGTGGCAAGTGACGTGGTGAATGAGGAGACCAGCGAGGACGGTTCCACCCAAAAGGTCGAGCGTCGCTGTGCCCTGGATGTTGACGCCCCGCGCCTGCTCAAAAGGGTATATTGCATTTAAGTTATTACATTTTGAGAGCTTCATTAAGAAGTTTGTCAAGTCTCTTGTTTCATGACTGTGTGTGTGTGTGTGTGTGTGTGTGTGTGTGTGTGTGTGTGTGTGTGTGTGTGTGTGTGTGTGTGTGTGTGTGTGTGTGTGTGTGTGTGTGTGTGTGTGTGTGTGTGTGTGTGTGTGTGTGTGTGTGTGTGTGTGTGTGTGTGTGTGTGTGTGTGTGTGTGTGTGTGTGTGTGTGTGTGTGTGTGTGTGTGTGTGTGTGTGTGTGTGTGTGTGTGTGTGTGTGTGTGTGTGTGTGTGTGTGTGTGTGTGTGTGTGTGTGTGTGTGTGTGTGTGTGTGTGTGTGTGTGTGTGTGTGTGTGTGTCAGATTGCTGGTGTGGATTATGTCTATTTCATCCAGAAAAACACGCTCAACCGGAAGGAGAGGACACTTCACATCGAGTCCCACAATGAGACCTTCTCCAACAGGGTCATCATCCATGAGACCTGCTGCTATTCGGTCAGTAACAAACACAACTCTGTGCTGTCAAATGCATGCTGTTGTCCAAAAACAGCTAATAACAAATGTGTATATTTGTAGTACAACCTGTTAAATTTTAAAGAACCACACGTTAATTCTGGTAGACAAATAACCAAACACACTTGTGTTCTGTAAAGCTGTTGTTCAATTCCTGATGGGCAAGCCGCCACCAGCGCAGCTATGTGAATGTTTGCTCCTCCTCTAATCCCTGCTTCCCTGCAGAGAAAGCATTGTTAAGACTAGCATTTAGCATTTAGCTAACTATCACAGCCCATCTCTCTCTCTGTGAATTACTTTTTTTTAAACACTGATCTGAAGACAGCATGCCTTCCCTATCGTACTTTCCCTTTTTTCTGTGTGCTGCATGCTTAACTCTGACTTCAGATCTGCATGAATGGTCGTGCTTTGAGTTAATGAGGTCAAGCACATTGTATTAGCCTCCAACCAACTAGAGTGCTAATATTAGGTCTGAGGCTGCATAGAGGCTCTTACTGCGTGGTTAAGCATACTGGCCTAACAGTGACTGGGATGGACAGCTCAATTAGATGGGGCTAATGGACTGACTAAAGCTGAAATATTTTGTGATTTTAAGAGGAATGAAGCTTCCAGCACAGGGATATCAAAAAGCATTAAAATCAAGATGTATTGCCATGAAAGATACTAGGAATCTAAAATCAATTTAAACAACTTAAAACAAGGAATTATGTGCTCAATTCTTTAAATTGAAGTAACAAGAGTATCCTTATCCTTAGTATTCTTCTAAACTGTTTGTCTTTGACAGAGTACAGGTTCTGGCTGCAAAGATAACTTCACAATAACCAAGACTTATGTCCTGTCATCGAGTTACAGTACTAATTAACATATGGTAGTGACAGCCGCTGTTGTTATTCTTGTAACTGATAAAAGTGAAGATCAGTGCTGAAACGGAGAAGCTGGTACCCAGTGTGCAATGCTCTCTGCTAAGAAGAGAGGACAGATAACACATGCTGTTTGAGTAAGTCTATGTATTTTTCTAAAACGATGACAAAAAAAACAAAAACAGAAGAATGTCAAAATAGTTTAAAAAAAAACAAAAAACACACACACTATAGGGAAATGCTTGCTATGCAGCTGGTTATATAAAGAGCAACGCTGCAACATTGCAACTTGCTGAGTCAAACAAAAAAATCATCTGAGTTCTGCAAAGAAAGAAGCAACCTTTCATTATAAAATAAGAATACATAATCCTTTAATGATCCTCAGAGGGGAAAGGCGGGTGTTACAGCAACACAAAAAGAAAGACAAATACAAAATAAGCAAGCATAAATACCAATAAGAATAAATATATTAATATTAGAAGTAAGCTAGCAATCCATGAACATGCACCTGGACTCTGATCCTGAGGTATGGCTCAGCACATCCCTATAAAATGTATCTGGTGGAGACAAAATTAAAACTACATTTCAGTTATTTTACTGTAAAGGTTCCTGTAACAGTGATAGCATCAAGTGAAAGATAGATGGAAAATACTTTTTCTTCTGTTCTTCTCCAGTTTAGTTCTAATTGAACATCACCTCTTGAAACCTTTTCACGTCACATCAGAGACATGTGTGTTCGTTTGCCGCCCTAAACCTCCAAACTGTCACATTTCAATAGCTGGCTAGTTTTATATGGACAGACTGACACACTCCCACTCACAGTGGGAAAATTGCTTTTCTGTGTGCGTCACCATCAAGTGAAGCTTAGTGTTTAGTAACCATAGTAACCTGTGTGTCCAGTATAAATTACAGTACATGCTTGTGATTTTTGTTATAGGTCCACCCAGAAAATGAGGATTGGACGTGTTTTGAGCAGACTGCCAGCCTGGACATCAAGTCCTTCTTTGGCTTCGAGAGCACGGTGGAGAAGATTGCCATGAAGCAGTATGCAAGCAGTATCAAAAAGGTGTGTGTGTATGTGTTGGTACACCTAATAATTACACACACGGGTAGCCTTTGTATTTTCATTGTTTGCACAAAATCACAGGTTCACAAAGGAAGGATGGTCCCTTATGCGTGTTGTATTTATTATGCCCAACTGACATGAGTCTGTTTGAGCAGGTTTGTGAACCATGATGCCGCTGGATTGCATGAGTACTTTTGAGCAGGTTTGTGAACCATGATTCAGCCGGGCTGGATTTGCATAAATACGATTATGTAATCTC